CTGACAGGTCAGAGGTTGGATCCTGACGGATCGGATGGTAGTTTCTGACAGGTCAGAGGTTGGATCCTGACGGATCGGATGGTAGTTTCTGACAGGTCAGAGGTTGGATCCTGATGGATCGGATGGTAGGTTCTGACGGATCGGATGGTAAGTTCTGATGGTTATGGGTTCTGACGGTAGGTTCTGACCCAGACCAAAGTACTGAGAAGAGTCCAGAAGCAGGTCCACCAACGCTGCTCGATCCAGATGTTTTATACTGGATCCCGCTGATGGTACTGTTCTGATCCAAGCCCTGTTCTCCTGTGGTTTTGATCCGTTTCTCCTGAGGTTCTGACCCATTTTCTCCTGCAGTTCTCTCCAGGTTGGGAACCCGACCCGAAGTCCCCGTCATTCTTCCAGAATCCAGACCTCTGAACCTGCTCCCAGGTCGGTCCATCAGAACCACTGGTCTATAAGCCCGTCTCGCGGCAGTCTATGAAGTTCTGATTGTGTCTCTGGTTCTGTAGCTCCCGGGTCTCCCAGGAAGGTTCGGCGCCGGCCCTGGTCGCCTGCGGAGAAGGAGGCCATCTGGAGGCAGCTGGGAGTCCATGTTCTGCTGCAGACGGTACCGGGGAAGGAGGTCTGCCAGCGCTGTCTGGACCAGGAACCGGTCCTCAAAGGGCGGCACTGGAAGGACATCAAGAACCAGGTCCACAACCAGATCCAGAGCCAGAAGAAGCAGCAGTTCCATGCCCAGATGGACCAGGAGGAGAACCAGAACCAAAAGAAGCAGCAGCCTCAACTGGACCAGCAGAACAAACAGCCCGCCCAGAACCAGAGCGACCAGAACTCTCAGTACCAGAACCAGGAAGCTGCTCAGAACCAGAAGAAGCAGCTGGAGCAGCAGAACCAGGTTTACCCTCCCAAGAAGCAGCTCTTCCATCCCAGACTGGACCACCAGAACCCCTGTGAGGTCCACAAGAAGCAGCTGTACCAGATGGACCATCAGAACCAGCCGCTGCAGGCCCAGAACCCGTCGGTAATGCCGCTTTCTCCTTACGGGCCCGATGGCCCGCTCCGAGCTCACGGAACCTCTCTGTTGGAGCGGGAACCAGTTGTGGGGCCGTACCCGGTTCTGCACCAAGCCCCGGGTCCACACATGGAACCGCTCCTCACCAGAACCGACTGGACTGCTGAGGCTTTGGTCCAGAACTACCAGCTCAACAGGCCAATGGACCGGAACCTTCTCCAGGAGGTTGGACCAGGAGGACCGGACCCACATTCTGGACACGTCCGGTTCTGATGGACTACAGCCAGACCACAGCTCCACGGCAGGAACAGATCCGAAAAGAACCAGATAAACTGCAGCAGAGGACGGAGGAGTGGTCTGAACTGGTTCTGGAGTTTGGACCCAGTTGGAGCTTTGGTTTCCAGAACACGCAGCAGACAGAGGATCCCTGAACCAGAACTGGACCAGCACTGCTGGTAATGCTCCAGAACAGAACCACTGTCAGCCAGGAGTGTGACTTGGTTCCTAAACCTTCAGAGCACCAGTTCTGCTTCTTAAGCTGCAGGGTCCAGAACCACCCTGGATGCTCTGTAGAACCAGCCACGGGTCTAAAACCAGAACTCACCAGAAGGTTCTTTCACCGGTTCTGAATATGAATAAACTGTAACAGAACCGGTCTGAATCAGTCTAGTTCCAGATAGATCCTTGGTTCTGATCCATACCCTTGGTTCTGGTCAAGATCCTTGGTTCCAAGTCAGAGCCTTGGTTCTGGATCACAGCCTTGGTTCCAGGTCAGAGTCTCGATCCTGGATCAGAGCCATGGTTCTGGATCTGACCTTTAGTTCTGGCTCAGATCCCTGGTTCTGAATCAGTCTTGTTCTGGATCAGAGCCTTCGTTCCAGATCAGAGCCTTGGTTCAGGTCCAGATCCCTGTTTTCTGGTCCAGAGCTTTGGTTCTGAATCAGACCTTTGGTTCTGGTCCAGATCCTTGGTTCCAGGTCAGAGGCTTGGTTCTGGTCCAGATCCCCGGTTCCAGGTCAGAGCCTTGGTTCCGAATCAGAGCCTTGGTTCAGGTCCAGATCTCTGGCTCTGGTCCAGTCCCTTGGTTCTGGATCATAGCTTTGGTTCCGGGGCTATGAACCAGGTCAGTGGTTGGGTTGGTTGAAGCAGGATTTTGTGTGAGGCCGGTACCAAAACCAGGAGAGGCTGGTTCTGATAAAACAAGCAGTACATTTCAGAAATAAAGTGGTTCCTGAAGTTCTCCGTCAGTTGTACCCGTCTGGTTCTTCATCAGGTCCTTATTGCTCTCCAGGTCTGGCAGAAGGTCTAAGGTTCTGGGTCAGATGGTCTTAGATCCAGAATGTTCCTGTGAGGTTCCTTAAAGGTTCTGTTCCTGCTTGGGCCCAGCCCTGCACGTCTCTGGTGGTTCTGGATTGACCTGCTTCACCTCCTTTGAAAGGATCCTCGGGATCAGTGACACAGCTGAAGCAGACAGCTGTGTCACTGCTGTTTCCTCCATCGGTCACTAGGTGGAGCTAGAAGCCTCTGAATGGCAGAGGCTAACTGATCAGAACTATTCTATGCAGGCGCTCATGTTATTACAATGATAATCTGTATTTGTTTTGGTCTAGAAAAGCTCAACTAGAAGGTGTCCTTATCCAAGGTTCGTATCATCATCATGTGTGTTGAAAGTCAGGTGGGCTTCCTGGACTGAAGGTTTTTCTGACACTCTGGCTTCTCTGAGGGGTTTAGAACCTGGTTCTGCTTCAGAGAGACCAGCGGGTCAGAACCAGCAAGAAGGAGGGTTTTTTCTTTCAGCAGCCAATCAGAGCAGTTTCTAGGGAATTATTAAATGGTTCTGAAAATGTTAGAGAGGGGAGAACCGAACGTTAGATCCAGACTTTAGAACCGGACGTTAGAACAAGACTTTAGAACCAGACGTTAGAACGAGACTTTAGAACCAGACTTTAGAACCGGACGTTAGATCCAGACTTTAGAACCGGACGTTAGAACAAGACTTTAGAACCAGATATAGGGGTTCAGGTCTCTGAGGACCTGACTTAATGAGAGATCCATATGGTTCTGACCCGGCCAGCAGCTCAGTTTAGACCCAGAACAATTTACTGCTTCCTATGAAATCAGTTATTTGGCAAACTGAGACCTAGTGGAGGGACCTGAGGGTTGGTTCTGATGGGATCCATGTTCTGGTGGACCAACCTGGTATCCATCAGCCCAAAGATCTTTTACTGATTGGTTTTCCTAAACATTAAAGAACCTTTGCCTGATCTTCTCTAAGCTGGGGGAGGTTCTGACCCGATCCCTCAGTACCTAATCCACAACCTGTGTATCTCTGACCCGTTCTGTCAGTACCTGATCCAGAACCCATGAATCTCTGACCCGTTCCCTCAGGGTCTCATCTAGAACCCGTGGATCTCTGAACTGTTTTCTGTACATTAGAGGCTTAACTGGAACCTACATTCTAGAAGGTTAACATGTCTCTAAATGGTCCACCTCCAGGAAGGAGA